GATCCAATTTTCTGCTTTTTGTCCAGGAAAATAGAGAAGAACCTCTTTGAGGTTAATGCTACTGTTTGTATTTTCCTCTCCCTGTGACGTTTTTCTCTCTAACGATTACCAGTTCCACGCTGTCAGTAAATTCCAAAGAAATTGGAGCTCCATTTAGGGCTGGTTTCCATTTACTATTCCCTAAAATGATCGCAAGTGGATCGTAAAATAGTGCGTTAATGGTTGGACCTCACAGACTTGGCTAAGACAGATGGTAGTGATCACCTCAATAGTAGAGGTGGAATACATGCTTGGTTTGAAGCCCAACTCCAGACAAAGCTTTTTTGTTCTGGGCAGTTTGAGGAAGCGTTTGACCTTCTCTCAGGTTTTTGCCTTTCACCCGATTCGGGAGAACCACTCTCACTTGTCAGAAAAGGAAGTGGTGGGAAATTTCTCCAAAGGGGACTCATATTGCAACAAAATACATTTCCTGGCGTCAACATGAAAGCATACATGCTGCCATGGATTGGCACCAGGAAAGGAAAATTACGGTAAGTGTTTGATCCAATTTTCCGCTTTTTGTCCAGGAAAATAGAGAAGGGTTTAGAACCTCTTTGAATGCTACTGTTTGTATTTTCCTTTCCCCATGACAACAGCCCCTTTAATTTATTTGTCCTTCTGTTATAGGAACAGGAAGTGAGGTGGAATCTCTTCAGTTGGGTTGACATATAGCAATAAAAACTCTAAAAAATAAAATCCATGTTTTGGCTAAACTTGGGTTTTGATTCCTTCTTCCCAACCCTGGCCCTTGATTGTAAAACTGGATCATCATTGTTTCTTTATGGGGTGGTGCATGGGCTTCCCCAATCATGTGATCACTGTGATTGACTGTTATAGGGATTACATCCCTAGGGTTGGTGTCACTCGATAACACTTGGTGTCACCCCTCTGACAAGCTCCGTAGGATGGATCAGATCTGCGGACTGAGCATAATGGATCAGAGTCCGATCCATTATCCTCCCCAATCCGCAGATCCGATCCATCCTGCGCGGATCGTCATCTTGCAACCTATACGGGGGTTAACTGATCTCTCCATGAAAAGGTAAGTTTTAAAGCGAGCCGACGATCCCCACAGGATGGATCGGATCTGCAGATTGGGGATCATAATGAATCGGACTCTGATCCGTTATGCTCAATCCGCAGATCCCATCCATCCTGCGGGGATCGTTGGCTTGCTTTAAAACTTACCTTTTCATGGAGAGATCAGTTAACCCCATATAGGTTGCAAGCCGACGATTACCGCAGGATGGATCAATCTGCGGATTGGGGAGCATGATGGATCAGACTCCGATCTATTATGCTCAATCCGCAGATCCGATCCATCCTGCGGGGATCGTCAGCTTGCAACCTATACGGGGTTAACTGATCTCTCCATGAAAAGGTAAGTTTTAAAGCAAGCCGATGATCCCCACAGGATGGATCGGGTCTGCAGATTGGGGAGCATAATGGATCTGACTCCGATTCATTATGCCCAATCCGCAGATCCCATCCATCCTGCGCGGATCGTTGGCTTGCTTTAAAACTTACCTTTTTGTGGAACTCGTGGAGAGATCAGTTAACCCCGTATAGGTTGCAAGCCGATGATCCTCGCAGGATGGATCAGATCTGTGGAGTGGGGAGCATAATGAATTGGACTCCGATCCATTATGCTCAATCTGCAGATCCGATCCAACCTGCGGGGATCGTCGGCTTGCTTTGAAACTTACCTTTTTCATGGAGCTCGAGGAGAGATCAGTTAACCCCGTATAGGTTGCAAGCTGATGATCCCCGCAGGATGGATCAGATCTGCGGATTGGGGAGCATAATGGATCGGACTCCGATCCATTATGCCCAATCCGCAGATCCCATCCATCCTGCGGGGATCGGCGGCTTGCTTTAAAACGTACCTTTTCGTGGAGCAGGTCCGGTATCACCCCGTTTGATAGGTGTCACCCGGTGTGGCGTGCACCCCCGTACACCTGCCTAGGGATGCCACTGGACAGAAATACTAGGCTTTTGAAAGCAAATGAACTCCTTTATGTGTATTTCAACTTGTCAAAAGTTCAGCAGCTTTAAATCCTCTTCTTCTACATAGGTCCCATAGTTTTCCAATGATCCCCTCTCCGGCTTGTGTTCCTTGTTGAACAATAGCAGCCCGGCCATTATTAGATTTTTTTCCCCTTAATTTGTTCCATATTGACGTTTTACAGACCTCTCGCCTGCCGGCGCTGCGCGTTGCCGTCTAGGGAAACATTCTGTTCGTTTTCTGGGTAACCGCTGGCGTTGGCCCGCGTGTTCATCTCCTGTACGATATACTTCTGTAGTCCGGCTTCCTCTCCTTCCACTCAATACTTTTGTTGTTTCTGGCGGAAGACACTGGAAATAATAAAAAGTAAACCTCTAAGACCGCCAATAAATCAACCACCAAATGGCGGCGCAGGTTTAGTCTGTTAGAAACCGCAAGAGAAAAGGAAGCATTCTTTAGGAAGCGAACATCGAACGGCACAAAACTTGTACAGGTTTACGAAGCACCAAAATGTAACAATAAGCAACATATGTATTTCCTAGGACAGTGTGGGGTGCGCGCCGCATGGGTGACACCTACCGCACGGGGTGACACCAGATCCGCTCCACGAAAAGGTAAGTTGTAAAGCAAGCCGACGATCCCCGCAGGATGGATCGAATCTGCGGATAGAGCATAATGGATCTGAGTCCGCAGATCCGATCCATCCTGCGGGGATCGTCGGCTTGCTTTACAACTTACCTTTTCGTGGAGCGGGTCCGGTGTCACCCGGTATAGGTTGCATACCGACGATCCCCGCAGGATGGATCAGATCTGTGGATTGGGCATAATGGATCGGAGTCTGATCCATTATGCTCAATCCGCAGATCCGATCCATTCTGTGGGGATCGTCGGAGGGGGATGTCATCAAGTGTTATCGCACTGGGTGACACCAACCCTAGGGACTCCCCTGGTGTTTCTTAACCTTTTTCCAGTCAAGGCACCCTTTAAAATTATGGACAGTTCCGAGGCACCCTTTAAACTCATGGACAGTCTTGAGGCACCCCATTCTAAAATGGGGTGCCTAGACTCCATAATTTTAAAAGGGCACCCCATTCTAAAATGTGAAAAAACTATTCTAAACGCAGCAAAATCCACACATGTAGGACACCCAACATTGGGGGTGATTTATTCTTCCAAAGCAAATACACTTTTGCACACTGGTACGGACTAGTATTCCAATGTTTCTCCTCTCCCTCAGTTTTTGAATGATGATGTCATTGGTTGTCAGGACGCCGGCGGCGGTGTGTACTGTGTGCTGATTTTACTGGGGATCGAGTTTTCATTCCTTGGTTAGCAGGGAATGGAAAAAAAAACTAGATCCCCTGTGCCTGAACACAGCTCTGTGTTGTTTACACTCACAGAGCTGTGTTCTGTAAGACTCGGTGGGTGCCGGCCATCATTCACTGGCCAGGACCAGGTGATTGGCATATGCAGTGACACATCACAGTGCAGCTGTGCGGGCGCACGTGCATGCACCCCCTACCTGGAAATGCAGAATCACGTATATACTATATATATATATATATATATATATACACACATACCCGTGATTCTGCACAGAGCGGCCGCCCTGTAGCAGTAGATCTACTGGAGACGGTCGACATCTGGTTTTAAAGCAGCGTTTTTTGTGTTTGAGTTTTTACATTCTATTGGCCAGAATACACATTTATTCTGTATTAACAGGCAAATGCATATAGATTTAATATTTGCACGCCAAACGCACTTTCAGCCCAAACACTCCTCTTCAGAACACGCAATCAATGCCCCTCCCTCCTAGATTGTAAGCTCCCAGGATCAGGGCCCTCCTATCCCTCTTGTATTGAACTGTATTGTTGCTGTATTGTCTCCCGTTATATTGTAAAGCGCTGAGCAAACTGTTGGCGCCATATAAATCCTGTATAATAATAATATATAAATCCTGTATAATAATATATAAATCCTGTATAATAATAATATATAAATCCTGTATAATAATAATAATAATATATAAATCCTGTATAATAATAATAATATATAAATCCTGTATAATAATAATAATATATAAATCCTGTATAATAATATATATATATAAATCCTGTATAATAATAATATATATAAATCCCGTATAATAATAATATATATAAAAATCCTGTATAATAATAATATATAAATCCTGTATAATAATAATAATATATAAATCCTGTATAATAATAATATATAAATCCTGTATAATAATAATAATATATAAATCCTGTATAATAATAATAATATATAAATCCTGTATAATAATAATATATATAAATCCTGTATAATAATAATAATATATAAATCCTGTATAATAATAATAATATATATAAATCCTGTATAATAATATATAAATCCTGTATAATAATAATAATAATAATAATATATATAAATCCTGTATAATAATAATAATAATAATAATATATATATATAAAATCCTGTATAATTATAATAATAATGTTTGTTTTTTTTCTGCCTCTAAACGCTTCTACTTCTAAACGCCTTCTACTTCTAAATATGTGTGAAGGACACCTACGGGTTGACTTACTAAAGGAAAATAAATTGTGCACTTTGCAAGTACAGTTGGACTCTGTAAGTGCAGTTGCTCCAGGGCTTAGTAAATAAGGGGAAGCTCTGCTGACTTGCATCCAATCATGTTCTTGCAAAAATGCAGTTTTTTAAAATTTTCCTTGCATGTGATTGGGTATTCTTTGCAAGTGAAGCTTCGCCTCATTTACTAAGCTCTGGAGCAACCCCATAGGCTAACATGGAGGGGCGTTAAGAGGCAGAAAAAAACAAAAAAAAAAAAAAAAAACCGCAAACGCCGGCAAAACAGACATGTGCATGAGGCCTAAGCAGCAATTTATTTTGTGTGACAAATTAACCATTTTTTTTTTCTGTTCTATCTTTCCAGAACGGAATCGTTCACAGGGATATAAAGTTGGAGAATATCCTTCTTGATGAAAACCTGAATGTAAAAGTAAGTTGAAATAATAAAAAAAATTGCAGTGCCAGTAGCAGCAAACGTGCCCTTCTGCTTGTTTAAGGCCCCGTTTACATCTGGCGATTTGGGATCCCGGGCATTCTCCGCAATCCTTCCTGCAGTTCCAAATCGCGCTACGATCGTGGCAAAATGCACCATGCGTGTTTGGGTGTCATTCACTTTTTAATGGCAAACGCGGTGTGGTTTTGGCACAAACCGAGTGAAGCTTGTTGTCCCAAAAAAGGGGAGGAGGAGCTTCTTTTGGGGGGGGCTACAAGCTTTGCACGATGCAGTTTGCCGCGCTTGCAAGACCGTGGCAATATTGGCAAAACCGCACTACGTTTGAGGTGCCATTAAAAATTAATGGCACTCAAAGATTCATCTGCAATTTGGAATCCTGGGCAGAACTTCAGCAATTCTACCTGCGATCCCGAATCACCAGATGTGAGCAGCGCCTGAGATTTCTCACATGGTCGGTAGAAGGTTGTGGGTTGTATGTGTAACGCCCTCTAGTGTAAGGGTTTTTTACAGTTAGAGGCTTGTTAGAAGCCTGGGAGTGAGTCAGCCTGGGAGTGAGTCAGCCTGGGAGTGAGTCAGTGAGGTCATTATAGGTTAAGGCTGAGGGGCTCTACAGGGGCTCTACAGGTCGGTTCTCGGATATCTCCCATCACTTTTCTGTGTTTCTATGTTGCATATCGCTGTGCCGCTGGAGTGAAATCAATAATTCTAGGGCCAGTGTTCATGGATAACTCTAAACTAATGTTACAATAGAGCATTTTATGGAATAATAAAAAAAAAAAAAACGAAACATTACAAGGTGGTATCAAAAAGTTTTGAGACTAATTTTGTAACACGCCAACAGATGAAAGTAGAAGGCTGCATGCATAGTCACAGGCAGCACCAACCTTCATAAGTCAGTGTGCCATAAGACATCATCCTGTGTTCATCGGGAGCTGTGCAACTGGTGCTATTCTGACCACGTGCATTACCACCTTTGCAATTTCATCATGGGCAGCAAGTTAGAACAGAGAGCAGCCGTAAAATTCTACGTGAAACTGAGCAAAGTGTGGAAGAACATCGCTGGAAGATGACAAGAGATCAGGAAGACCTTCAGAGAGCTAAACCTCCTGAAAACGCCCTCTTCCCGAAGATGAAGATCCAGCTCAAAGGTCGCTGGTTTTGACAACATTACGGAGATCCAGAGATTTGCCCAGTTTCATGCAGAATTTCATGTTTGCTTTTCGGCTGACCTCAGGTGGAAGGGGGATTATGGTGTGGGGTTGTGTTTTCAGGGGTTGGGCTTGGCCCCCTAGTTCCAGTGAAGGAAACTCTTAAGGTGTTAGCATATCAAGACATTTTGGACAATTTCATGCTCCCAACTTTGTGGGAAGAGTTTGGGGATGGCCCCTTCCTGTTCCAACATGACTGCGCACCAGTGCACAAAGCAAGGTCCATAAAGACATGGAGGAGCCAGTTTGGGGTGGAGGAACTTGACTGTCCTGCACAGAGTCCTGACCTCAACCCCATAGAACACCTTTGGGATGAATTAGAGCAGAGACTGCGAGCCAGGCCTTCTCCTCCGACATCAGTGCCTGACCTGACAAATGTGCTTCTGGAAGAATGGTCCAACCTTCCCATAGACACCCTCCTAAACCTTGTGGACGGCCTTCCCAGAAGAGTTGAAGCTGTTATAGCTGCAAAGGGCGGGGGCCAACTCAATATTGAACCCTACGGACTAAGCCTGGGAGGTCATTAAAGTTCATGTGCGCGGAAAGGCAGGCCGACCAATACTTTTGGCCATATAGTGTATGTTGGCATATGTATCTCATATATAGCAGAAAAAGACAGCAGTACATCCAGTAGAGTTACAATGTTTGGGGGCTTTACTAATCTTCATGTCCAAAAATGATATTTCAAACGTCTAGAAATTCAAAAATGGCTCTGGGACTGAAGTGGTAATCTCCAGCGTTTGGAACAATACTGAATCTGGTTTGTGACAATGGTTCCCAGCATGCCATCCTATAGACGGGACGGGGCCCTTGCAAGAGACAAGAATGCAAATAGGCCTCCAGCTGCACACCCCGCCAACTCCTTAACGACCGCTTACTTTTTTTTTGTGCCAGTGATAAATGGTGGGAACGACTTAGCCAAGCCAGAGCCAAGAATTATCTTCTTTTTTTTTTTTACATATCAAACAGCTCGAGTGCAAATGGGCATAAACAGCTTAAAGACACATTAACGTCTAAAAATAACAGGGAGCTGCCATTGACTAACTTCCTGCTGTTCGGAAAGCCTTTTAAGGAAGGTATCGCAGGTTTCACATTGTGCAGAGGAATGCCGGGAATGTCTGTGTTTTAGTATTGTACCAGGGAAAGAAAAAGCAGCATTTAATTGGATCCTTCTTCAGTAATTCATCCTATTCCTGACAAATAGCAGGATGTATTAGCATTCCTGACATTTTCTTTTTTTCTAGGAAACAACTCCATTTCTTTCTGCAATTTGTCTCTTCTTGTTGTTGTTGTTGTGTCGGGGAAGGAATGCGTATAGAAGGGGATTGCCTACAACTGACCCCCTTGTTGTACTCATTTTAACATCATCATATTAAAACGTTTCTTCACTCGGTTTGAAAATTTTTCTTTTAAAAAGTACACTTCCCTGATTGGAGGTCCAGCACTGTCCTTACCCAGGCGGGTCCTTCACCAGTTTTTGGGTCCCCTGGTGCATGTTTAGTGTGCGAAGCTGGCTGTGTCTCTCTGCGGCTTTGGAGATTTGGAAAAGACAGAGAGCAACTTTTTTTTTAATTAAAATGGAACTTCACTCTCTCAATCAATACATGCATGGGGTGAGTTGGCCAAATTAGATGTCCATAATTAGGTCCATAGTCCCATGGGGGGGGGGTGAGGTCCAGCACTGTCCTTACCCAGGTGGATCTGTCACCAGCCTTTGGGTCCCTGGCGCATGTTTAGTGTGGGAAGCCGGTTGTGTCTCTGCAGTTTCATGGATCGAAATTTGGCCGGTTCAGTAGGGATCGTCTGAATTTCGATACGTGTTTGGCCGTGCCTGTTTGACAGAAGTTGATCATTAGATTGATTTTTGTCAAATGGACTTGTTGGACATTTTGTTCTTGATGGGTGGCTACGTTCTTACATACAGTGGGACCATGGAGATATAACATAGCCACCCTCTTATAGCAAAAACAAAGTTATTTGGAGATTTGGTGAAGGCAGAGAGCAACTTTTTTTTTAAATTAAAATGGAACTTCACTCTCTCAATCAATACATACATGGGGTGAGTTGTCAAAATTTGATGTCCATAATTAGGTCCATAGTCCCATGGGGGGGTGAGGTCCAGCACTGTCCTTACCCAGGCGGATCTGTCACCAGCCTTTGGGTCCTTGGCGCATGTTTAGTGTGGGAAACCGGTTGTTTCTCTGCAGTTTCATGGATCGAAATTTGGCCGGTTCAGTACGGATCGTCTGAATTTCGATACGTGTTTGGCCGTGCCTGTTCGACAGAAGTTGATCATTAGATTGATTTTTGTCAAATGGACTTGTTGGACATTTTTTCTTGATGGGTGGCTACGTTCTTACATACAGTGGGACCATGGAAAATGAACATAGCCACCCTCTTACAGCAAAAACAAAGTTATTTTGAGATTTAGAGAAGGCAGAGAGCAACTTTTTTTTTTTAATTAAAATGGAACCTCACTCTCTCAATCAATACATACATGGGGTGAGTTGTCAAAATTTGATGTCCATAATTAGGTCCATAGTCCCATGGGGGGGGGGGGTGAGGTCCAGCACTGTCCTTACCCAGGTGGATCTGTCACCAGCCTTTGGGTCCTTGGCGCATGTTTAGTGTGGGAAACCGGTTGTTTCTCTGCAGTTTCATGGATCGAAATTTGGCCGGTTCAGTACGGATCGTCTGAATTTCAATACGTGTTTGGCCGTGCCTGTTCAACAGAAGTTGATGATTAGATCGCTTTTGTCAAATGGATTTGTTGGACATTTTTTCTTAATGGGTGGCTACGCTCTTACATACAGTGGGACCATGGAGAACAAACATAGCCACCCTCTAGCAGGAAATCAGATCACAGCAGCAAAAACAAAGTTATTTGGAGATTCGGAGACGGCAGAGCGCAACTTTTTTTTTTTTAATTAAAATGGAACTTCACTCTCTCAATCAATACATAGATAGGGTGAGTTGGCAAAATTAGATGTCCATAATTAGGTCCATAGTCCCACATGGGGGGGGGGGGGGGGGGGTGAAAGGTAAAAAGGGGCACGATGGAGGGGAGGGGGAAAAGGAAAGGGGGACAAAGGCCCATTGGTGGATCCAGTAGAAAGACTACAAAATGGTTAGTACCTCAAGGCAGCCTCCAAAGTAGACCATAAGCAGATCTCCAATGTCACATGTAAAAAAGGATTGAAAGAAGGCGCCTTCTTTCATTCCTTTTTTACTCTCTCAGTCAACACTGACTATTTTTAATCCTTAGGTTGCTAGCTTTTGTAAATAGATAGGAAGGTATATCATATTTACTTGTTTTAACATTTTTTAATGATTTCTTCAGTCATTTCCTGGTCTCTGACCTACGCAAATGATGGCATACATCCCAGGAGTCTTCAGGAGGGGAGGAGGAGTTTTATCAGCTAAGCACATCCTCCTGCCTGTGAGCCTGAGCTAAGGGCAGATGGATTCCAGGAAGTAAATGCTACATGAATCATCTGCCCTTACTCAAGGTGGCCTTGCACAGAAATGCTAGGGGGTGTGTGTGTCTAAACTGTATATGAACACCTAAAAAAACAAAAACACTATTTCATTAATTTGTAGTATTCAAAGCAAACTCACCCACCCATTCATGTCTCCATGCTTTATTTTGCTGAGAAAGTACTTTGAAAAACACTTCCTAGCATTTTTGCAAGTGGCCATCTTGAGTAAGGGCAGATGATTCATGTAGCATTTATTTCCTGAAATCTAGCTCAGGCACACAGGATATGCTTAGATGAGAAAAACCGTTTTCCTCTCCTGAAGACTCCTGGGATGTATGACATCATTTGCCTAGGCCAGAAACCAGGAAGTGACTGAAGAAATGGTTAAAAAAAAGTTTAAAACAAGTAAATATATTATACTGTCCTATCTATTTACTAATGCTAGCAGCATAAGGATTACAAACAGTCAGTGTTGATCGAAGTTCTGCTTTAACCACTTGCCGTCCGCCTGCTGTTTATAAACGGCAGGGCGGTGGCAGTCCAGGGGCGGATTGCCATTCATAAACGGCATCCGCCTTTTCTAGCTGTGTGCGCTCCCTGGGAGCGCGCAGCACCGCAATCCGGTGCCCGCTGTGTCCTCCGGACACAGTGAAACACCAATCGTCAGACAGGATCTCTGTACGAGGTCCCGATCATGTGATCACTGATTGGCCAATCAGTGATCACATGCAAAGTAGTAAGCAAGATGTCACTTGTGACATCATTGCTTACTATGTGTGAAATCTGTGAATGATCACAGAGGTCACATGGTACAAGCCTATTCACAACAGCCTTGTACCATGTGACAAGCTGTGACCAATCGCAGCTCACTCAGTACTTCTCAATGACTGCAAGAATGCAGACAGAGAGAAAGAGAAGTGATTGCTTTTACATCCTATATGGGTGTAAAAGCAATCAGTGTAAAAAAAAAAAAAATCTTCATCACCCCCCACAAGTAGTACAGTGTCACCATGGTGACACTGTACTGCTAGGGTGACAGTATGTAAAAAAAAAATTAAAATAAAAAATAATAATATAAAAAAATAAAATAATGTAAAAAAAAAGTTTAAAAATTATAATTTTTGGTTATAAACTAATTTGGATTTTTTTTTTTTTTTATTAAAAAAATAACGGAATAAATTTTGGGCAAGATTTATGATGAAATATTATTTATTTGCAAAATTTTATAAAAAAAAACACTTTGTTTCAAAATTTTTGGACTTTTTCATTTACATAGTAAAAAAAAAAATAGAAATCTCAGCGGTGAATAAATACCACCAAAATAAAGCTTTATCTGTCTCAAAAAAATGGCAAATGGGTACAGTGTTGCATGACCGCGCAATTGTCATTCAAAGTGTGATAGCGCTGAAAGCTGAAAATTGCTCTGGACAAGAAGGAGGTAAAAGTGTCCAAACAGGAAGTGGTTAAGAAAACAAGGACCACAAGCATATGTACTAGGGCTAAACAGTATACTACTCAAGACAAGTCCCATAAATAGCTGCACTGCTATAAATAATGCTCTTAAAATGTATTGAAAAATTCATAAAATACATGTACTGTATCAAAAGAGACCCCAACATGTGAAAAGTAAGAAAAAAAACTTATATTTGTTTTCCAAGCATATCCACAAAAGCTTCTTGACCAAAAATGTACAGAATAGTGATGCCACCATGTCCACTAGTGTAGACAAGACAAGGGTCATGTACAGAATAGTGATGCCACCATGTCCACTAGTGTAGACAAGACAAGGGTCATGTACAGAATAGTGATGTCACCATGTCCACTAGTGTAGACAAGACAAGGGTCATGTACAGAATAGTGATGTCACCATGTCCACTAGTGTAGACAAGACAAGGGTCATGTACAGAATAGTGATGCCACCATGTCCACTAGTGTAGACAAGACAAGGGTCATGTACAGAATAGTGATGCCACCATGTCCACTAGTGTAGACAAGACAAGGGTCATGTACAGAATAGTGATGCCACCATGTCCACTAGTGTAGACAAGACAAGGGTCATGTACAGAATAGTGATGTGATCACCCATGTCCACTAGAGTAGACAAGACAAGGGTCATGTACAGAATAGTGATGCCACCATGTCCACTAGTGTAGACAAGACCAGGGTCTTAAATGTCAGACATGGTTAAATATTCCTCATTAAAGCCCAACTGTGGACATGGGATCTCCACCTCCCCATAGGAGCACTACTGCATCCTTTCAAAGAAATAATTTTCCTTAGGAGATAATTTGATGCACATTTTGGTTACTTTGATTTGCCTCTTATTCACTCATGGAATAATTTCTGAGCTACATCAAGTTGTTTTCCGCAATAACTTTTTATGGGGCAAAAGGAACCAACAAAAGCTTGCCTGCATGAGCCCGTAGGGTGACTTTTTTGGAGTAGCGTTCCATTCTTCAAACACTTATTTAAATTCAAACCACATTTGGTAATAGGGCTGCTCACAATTCGGCACTGGCGATGCCGTGCACATCCAGACTCCTGTATGCAGCAAATTTGTTCTCTTTGATTGAATGAAACATGAAAATGCCTCTTTGAAAACCACAGGTGGCCTTGATCTCGGGATTCCAGCATAAACGTTTGGATCTAGGTGTTATATATTGTATATTAGGGATACGTGTTGTATTTTTTCTTGTACTTTATTATGTGAAAAGATAGCAAATGACTACATTGCGTTGTCATTGTTTTAAGCTTGCAGATTTTGGACTTTCAAACCTGTATCATAAGAGCCGGGTCTTGGAAACATACTGCGGGAGTCCTCTCTACGCTTCTCCAGAAATTGTCAAGGGTCTTCCTTACCGTGGCCCAGAGGGTAAGAACTTGGTTCTTAGTTGTCCTGCTTGCTACTTGCAAAATTTTCACTTTTTAATTTATCCAAAGACATGGTGGTAGGTTTATTGGGCCTAGTATGTGTATGTATGAATGTGAGTTAGGGAATTTAGACTGTACGCTCCTTGAGGGTCAGGGACTAATGTACAACATCTATGTAAAGCACTATATACAGTAAGTACCTGTAATAAACAAACAAATAAATACATTTTTAAAAAGTCACATAAAGGTCAAAGTGCCTATAAGCCCTGAATGACACTTAAGCCGGCCATAGAAGGATAAAAATTCAGCCAGTTCAGCAGGAACCAGATGGATTTCAATCCATCTACAGGCAGGCCGGTTGTACTAAGGTCCATCTATTGACTGACTTCAGTACAACCAGCCAGTTGGGTTTTTGTTGTGCGATTACTGCCGGCTATAACCTCCCACAGTGATCATTGTATTCTGCTAGTGCGGAAGGCTCCCCGCCAGCAGAACACAATAGCGCTGTGGGAGGGATTCCTCTATCAACAAAGTCGGGGAGACTGTGGTTGAAGGAAAGAAATTTGCATAATGTATGGCTAGCCGAAGTTTGCTAAATCTTTATATGTTATATGTTTTCTTTTTTTTGAAAATAAAATACTCCACTCAAGATCCCTTGTGCAAGCAATGGACTGGCCCTCATGAGATGTCATGCAAATATAAAAAATGCCTTGATAGAGGACGTCATTCCGGAGAAGTGGGCGTTCCTAGGTATGCTGTATTTGCATACCGACTGCTCTAGGTAAAGGCCACATGTGAGGCCGAGCCTCCATGATTGGAAGAATTGAAATCCAGTGAATGAAAGGGGCATGCCAGGCTGGCGAGGAAGGCGCTAGATGATACTGTTCATCCTCCAGCAAAGAAATGAAAGGGGCTCTATCTGACTTCTAACGCAAACTGTGGGAAGCTCACAGTGTGCAGCGAAATCAGAATTTCAGTCCAGGAGAGGAACCTGTACAACTTTGCAAGTCTGAAGGGAAGGTCGGAGGTCAGATTAAGGCATGTTTGTTATATGTATTTGTTCTCATTTCTGCAGGTTGATTGCTGGGCTCTGGGAGTACTTCTCTATGCTCTGATCTATGGAACTATGCCATTCGACAACAGCAATTATAAAACATTAGCTGAACAGATCAGTAGTGGCCAGTACAGACAGCCTCCTCATCTATCAGGTAAGTGATGAATATTCACTGCGGATGTTAATAATAGGCCTATGTGAAGTCTTTAATAAAGTTATAAATTCTAAATTCAGTCCTTAAAATGAAAATGTACTTACCTCTTAATTTAATATGGAAGTTAGCTACATGTATTCTGATTTTTTTTTCTGACATATTTCTGAAAACAATTATAGTTTTCTTTTTTCTATTGGAGACCTAAAAGTATTTTAATGTGCCCATGCAGCATCTGTATATTGGTAGAGTTATGGAACAAGATTGTTGAGGGTCATGACAGCATGGAATACTAGAAGGGATGGACAAGGGTCCTGACATTTCCAGAAGGGATGGGCAAGGGTCCTGACATTTCCAGAAGGGATGGGCAAGGGTCCTGACATTTCCAGAAGGGATGGGGCAAGGGTCCTGACATTTCCAGAAGGGATGGGCAAGGGTCCTGACATTTCCAGAAGGGATGGGCAAGGGTCCTGACATTTCCAGAAGGGATGGGCAAGGGTCCTGACATTTCCAGAAGGGATGGGCAAGGGTCCTGACATTTCCAGAAGGGATGGGCAAGGGTCCTCACATTTCCAGAAGGGATGGGCAAGGGTGCTGACATTTCCAGAAAGGGTTGGGTAAGGGTCCTGACATTTCCAGAAGGGATGGGCAAGGATGCTGACATCATGGGGTAACAGAATTGGTGAATGAGGGTTTTGGCAGCGTGGAGTACCAGAAGGGGTGCTTGAGGGACCTAGCATCATGGGGTGCCAGAGGAAATTGGCAAGGGTTTGAGCTGCATGGGGTACCTGAAGGGATAGGCGAGGGTCCTTTCTGGATTTTTCAGAAAGAATGGTCGAGGCCACTGGCAGCATGGGGAGCTAGAAATGGTGGGTGAGGGTTTTGGCAGCATGGGATACCATAAGTGTTGGCTGAGGGATTTGGCAGCATGGAGTACCAGTAGGGGTGGTCAAGGGTCTTGGCATCATGGGGTACCAGAGAGAATTGGCAAGGGTTAAGGCAGTATGGAGTACCAGAAGGAATAGGTGAGGGCCCTTGCTGAATTTTTCAGAAAGAATGGTCGAGGGCACTGACAGCATGGGGAACCAGACGTGGTAGGTGAGGGTTTTGGCAGCATGGGATACCATAAGTGTTGGCTGAGGGATTTGGCAGAATGGGGTATCAGAAGGAGTGGTCAAGGGTCCTGGCAGCATGGGGTACCATTGGGAATTGGCAGGGGTAAGGACAATATACAGTACCAGAAGGGATGGATTTTCAGAAACAATGGTCAAGGGTGCTGACAACATGGGATGCCAGAAAAGGTGGGCAAGGATCTTAATATCAATGAGTACTAGAAGGGGTGGGAAAGGGTCTTAGTAGCAGAGTGCACTAGAAGGGGTGTGCAAGGGTCCTGGTAGTATAGGGTACCAGAAAGGATAGGTTAGGGTCCTAGCAGCATGGGTTACCCTAGGGTATGGACAGATCTCTTATTAATGACTTGGTTCATTAGACATTTTCACAGCTATACTAGATGAGGAGCCTGGAGTGGGAATGGGAGAAAGATAACCTTTATTTCTTCTTGGTGGTGGGATGCCTGCTTACCCAACTGCTATCTCACATCTGTAGCTTTCATCATTTTAGTAAAAGCCCAAGGTTGAATTGATTTATTTTTTTTTGGGCATGAAGAATTTTGGAATTAAAATATTTTTTTTTACAGGCGCCTGTGGATTGATTGACTGGATGCTGACAGTAAATCCAGCCAGGAGAGCAACTATTGAAGATATTGCCAATCACTGGTGGGTTAATTGGGGGTACGACACCATGGTATGTGACTGCCATCTTGTACCTGAATGTCAATCTCCTCTGTTAGCACGATACATCGAATGTCAGAACACACCTGGTTTCAAAAGCACAAAAACAGAACAAAGCAGAGTCCATTCCAGGGAAGATGAAGAATATGAAGGCTGCCTCAGAAAGTCCAAAAAGGAAAATGACATAAATCAGTCCCAACAAGAACTTGAACTTATTGCTTCTCGAAAGAAACCAAAGGGGATCTTGAAAAAAAGGAGCAGCTTTGACAGCTCATTATTAAACTCCTCAAATTTCTCTGAAAACTTGTCTCAGAATTGCATGGAGCTCAGCCAAGAAGTGAAAACCACGTCTGCCTACGAGTCTCACATATCAACGAATGTCGAATGCACTTTCAACAAGCCGAAAAAAGGAATTCTAAAAAAGACATATGAGAGGGAATCAGGATATTCATCTTCCCCGGAGAGAATAACGGCCTCAGAGTGCCAGAAGGCCTACCATAAAGTAGCAGAAGAAAAAACAAGGTCAGATAGATACACAAGGAGGAAAAAGGGCATTCTCAAAAAGAACGGACGATTTTCAACCAGTTTGGATCTACCCGCAGACTGTTCGTCCCTCCGGCTCTCAGACTCCATGGAAGACTTAATCTTCCCCACTGCAGAGGCTCCAAAGAGCCCTAGCCGGCCATCGAGTGTGATTAGCGATGACAGCTTTCTCTCCAGCGATTCCTTTGACCTGCTTGACATGACTTTTGAAACAAAGTCCCAACTTTTCTCTTACAGCCCGCACACCAGTTTCTACAGTTCTGAGGATGATGACACCTTGACGAGCAAGCTTAGGGAGAAGCTTTCCAATCGAAACCATAAACTATAACATTTCAGAGAGTGCGTTATTCTGGACTGAAATTACGACAAAGAAAGTAGCATCAAATAGACTAATTCAACCACTTCTGTGGAAAGTAAAGACTGTATTATATTTGTCATTTTATGTCATTTTATTTGTCAGTGGTGTTTTACAATCTCTGGTTTGTAGCAAGCATCATTCTTTGGCAATGGGCCAATAAAGCTGCTTTCCGATAAAGCTTGGATGGGGTGTGCCACCCTGTAGCCTAAACGTTTTGTGAGTCCATCAAATTAAATGTAAAGTAATGAAAGATCTCCCTAGTCGTAGCTGGTCACGTTCAGGTGGACTGGTTTTGTGACGGTGAAGACCTTCTATTCCGTTTCCAGATAACTTTCTTTAGCTCTATTGAGTGCTAGGAACACACCTCAGCATTTATAGCTTCATAAATAACTCCGGTTATCATGAAATGAGTTAAAGTAGATAGTGATTGATCCAAGAATATGATGGGAGATGTTAAAGTTTGTGTAACCCCCTGTCACGTTCCTGGTAGTGAGCCTGAAATGCAGAGGAAGGCCTCTCATACAGCTCTGGCTCAGGGGGAACAGCAACCACGAGAGCACGGTGAGGTATGAATGCCGTGATCAGTCCAGTGGTCTGTGTGGGTAATAGCCAAAGTCTTGCTGGAAGGATGCCTGGAACAGGACAGCTGGCGGTAGGCAGATGTCTCTGCAGAGCACACACTGGCAGCAGGCAGACGTCATGGCAGAGCAGGTTGGTAATGGACAGGCAGGCAGCAAGTAGGCGTCATAGCAGAGCAGGCTGGTACCAGGCAAGTTGGTTAGGGCAGTATGGAGTACCAGAAGGAATAGGTGAGGGCCCTTGCTGAATTTTTCAGAAAGAATGGTCGAGGGCGCTGACAGCATGGGGGACCAGACGTAGTGGGTGAGGGTTTTGGCAGCATGGGATACCATAACTGTTGGCTGAGGGATTTGGCAGCATGGGGTACCAGAAGGGGTGGTCAAGGGTCCTGGCAGCATGGGGTACCATTGGGAATTGGCAGGGGTAAGGACAGTATGCAGTACCAAAAAGGATAGGCAAGGGATGGATTTTCAGAAACAATGGTCAAGGGTGCTGATAACATGGGATACCAGAAGCGGTTGGGGAAGGATCTTAATATCAATGAGTACTAGAAGGGGTGGGCAAGGGTCTTAGCAGCAGAGTGTACGAGAAGGGGTGGGCAAAGGTCTTAGTAGCAGAGTGTACTAGAAGGGGTGTGCAAGGGTCCTGGTAGTATAGGGTACCAGAAAGGATAGGTTAGGGTCCCTAGCAGCATGGGTTACCTTAGGGCAGTGTTTCTCAACTCCAGTCCTCATGGACCCCCAACAGGTTATGTTTTCAGGATTTCCCTCAGATGAAACAGCTGTGGTAATTACTAAGGCAGTGAAACTGATCAAATCACCTGTGCAAAATAATGGAAATCCTGAAAATATGACCTGTTGGGGGTCCATGAGGACTGGAGTTGAGAAACACTGCCTTAGGGTATGGGCAGATCTCTTATTAATGACTTGGTTCATTGGACATTTTCACAGCTGTCTGGCAGCAGGCAGATGAACCAGGTGAAGATGTGCTGGACTGCAGAGCTGTAACAGGCTGGATGAGCAGGATTCAGGGTCAAGCATAAACGGTAGATGAGAGAGAAGTCGGGTCACAGGCCAGTGTTAGCAATGGTAGAGGCAGATCAGGCAAAGGCAGTGGGCAGAGGTAGAATCCAGGGAACAAGCCGAGGTCAGGGCAGGTAGCAAACAAGTGGAGTCAGAAGCAAGCCGAGTCAAGATCAGAGGTCAAACACAGGAATCGGGATATACACACACAGAAGCTGCAGACCAAACAGCAATTAGCCAGTGCAGTAGCTCCATTTAAATAGGCAGTTTGGTGCCAGCCTTGGTGACAGGTGACTAGTGCGCATGCGCAGCGCTGCTGTTAGAAACCACGGGGCCCCAGACAGCCAACCTGGCAGGCCCCCCCAAAAAAGAAAACACAGTTTACTAGGCTTCAGTTATGAATGAACAAAGTGAGTGATCGATACTGATCACTCATTGTGTTCATTCATGAAGGAAAGGGGCTGGTAAAATGTTACACATTTACAGGACCCTTCCTGTAAGGGTAGGAAGGAGGGGAGGGAAGCCAGCAGCACTGTGGGGGTGGGGGCACACAAGGAGGAAGCATGGGGAAGTGTACGGTGCACAGGGAGGGTGATAAGGTGCTACGATGGGGGGAAATTACTGGAACCAATCCCATGTATGGCTCTCTCTGCAGCAGCTGAACGCCACGGGGAGGAATAGGAGAAGAAGCTGGCTTTCAGCTGCTGCAGACAGAGCCATACAGGGGATCAGTTCCAGTATTTGCACCCACTCTGTGCCGATCACCCTCCCTCAGTTCCGATCACTCATTGTGTTCATTCACGAAGGAAAGGGGCTGGTAAAATGTTACACATTTACAGGACCCTTCCTGTAAGAGTATGAAGGAGGGGAGGGAAGCCAGCAGCACTGCGGGGGTGGGGGCACACAGGGAGGAAGCATGGGGAAGTGTACGGTGCACAGGGAGGGTGATAAGGTGCTACGATGGGGGGAAATTCTGGAACCAATCCCATGTATGGCTCTCTCTGCAGCAGCTGAACACCACGGGGAGGAATAGGAGAAGAAGCTGGCTTTCAGCTGCTGCAGACAGAGCCATACAGGGGATCAATTCCAGTATTTGCACCCACTCTGTGCCGATCACCCTCCCTGCCCACATCTGATTCACCCAGCTGCCTGGGCCCCCTATAGGAGGACTGGTGGTACCCCTTTATCCACGGCCCTGCGCATGCGCGCGCCTATGCACATATCTGTGCACATCTGCCTAGTCACTTGCCTTTCTGCGCATGTGCATATGTATGCACTGTGAAACTTCACCTGCACTATGGGCAAGCCTCCCCCCCCCCAAGTTCTAATTATATAATCTGATCATTGTGGGCCCATGAAGTCTGGAATGGGTGTCAGTTGTTCGAGTTGCAATGGTGAGGTGTGAATTGTCAAATTGCCCTGGTGGAGATTTTACAATTGCATTTTATGGCTTGATGTCAGGACTGACGCATGTTCCTGACACTCATTAGAGCTAAAGAAGCTACTTGGATAAGTAGTAAAATGCCTTTAACATGGCAGAATAAGTGCGGCTGAATGTGACTAAATACTACGAGGTGTATTATGACCTGGACAAATGAGAACCTTCACAGACATACTGGGAAATGCCACATAAACTGGTAAAATGTGCTACACCAAACCAAGGCTGCTGTCAGTAAAGGGGGACTGTGATAATGCCTTACCCTAGGTTCACATATATGCAGCCGTGCGGGCCGCGTTTTGCACGGGCACCAGAGCCCATTCATTTGAATGGACTCCCGTGCCCCATGACACGCAGGAAAGAAGTCACTGCACTTCTTCTGAAAACGCAGCCCGCGCGGGAACCTCGATTTCCCAGTACGGTTGCGTTTTCCAGTGCGGGCAGTGTGCCATTAGAACTAATGGCACCCGCCCGCGGGGGTCCACATTCCTCTGTGCGGATGGTGTGGCTGCACGGATTTTCGTGCAGATCCGCAGCTGCACCACCCGCACAGATGTGAACCTAGCCTTAAGCTGGCCATAGATTGGTAGAATTTTATAGTGAATGCAGGGTCCAGGGAGAGCGGATGTGAATGCAGGGTCCAGGGAGAGCGGATATAGTGAATGCAGGGTCCAGGGAGACCAGATATAGTGAATGCACGGTCCAGGGAGACCGGATATAGTGAATGCAGGGTCCGGGGAGACCAGATATAGTGAATGCAGGGTCCGGGGAGACCAGATATAGTGAATGCAGGGTCTGGGGAGACCAGATATAGTGAATGCAGGGTCCGGGGAAAGCAGATATAGTGAATGCAGGGTCCGGGAAGACCGAATATAGTGAATGCAGGGTCCGGGGAGACCAGATATAGTGAATGCAGGGTCCAGGGAGAGCGGATATAGTGAATGCAGAGACCAGGGAGACCAGACATAGTGAATGCAGGGTCCAGGGAGACCGGACATAGTGAATGCAGGGTCCGGGGAGAGCGGATATAGTGAATGCAGGGTCCAGGGAGACCGGATATAGTGAATGCAGGGTCCGGGGAGAGCAGATATAGTGAATGCAGGGTCTGGGGAGACCAGATATAGTGAATGCAGGGTCCGGGGAGACCAGATATAGTGAATGCAGGGTCTGGGGAGACCAGATATAGTGAATGCAGGGTCCGGGGAAAGCAGATATAGTGAATGCAGGGTCCGGGAAGACCGGATATAGTGAATGCAGGGTCCGGGAAGACCGGATATAGTGAATGCAGGGTCTGGGGAGAGCAGATATAGTGAATGAAGGGGCCAGGGAGACCGGATATAGTGAATGCAGGGTCCGGGGAGACCGGATATAGTGAATTCAGGGTCCAGGGAGACCAGATATAGTGAATGCAGGGTCTGGGGAGACCAGATATAGTGAATGCAGGGTCCAGGGAGACCAGATATACTGAATGCAGGTTCCGGGGAGACCGGATATAGAGAATGCAGGGTCCAGGGAGACCAGATATAGTGAATGCAGGATCCGGGGAGACCGGATATAGTGAATTCAGGGTCCAGGGAGACCAGATATAGTGAATGCAGGGTCTGGGGAGACCAGATATAGTGAATGCAGGGTCCAGGGGAGACCAGATATACTGAATGCAGGGTCCGGGGAGACCGGATATAGTGAATTCAGGGTCCGGGGAGACGGATATAGTGAATGCAGGGTCCGGGGAGACCAGATATAGCGAATGCAGGGTCCGGGGAGACCAGATATAGTGAATGCAGGTCCAGGGTTTAGTAACACTTTAACTCAGTATTCACAATTGGTATGTCAGATCCATCAGCACCATGTCCAAAAATAATCATGTATAAATAGAAACAAAGGCATGAAGGACTTTATAGGTGCTTATATACCCTCAGGATGAAAACAAC